TGTATGTTCACTTGTACTGAACCTCTGGCACAACAATTTCCTGTGGGATCAATAAAGTTTCATCTTATCTTATCTTATCTTGAAAATGTAGTCAGCAGAAATAATCTGAAAAGAGCACAAAACAACTGAAATTAGCTGGAAAAAAAAGTTTACATTTATACAATGAAGCCGAAAGAAGCTGGACCAGGACAAAATGTGAAAGAAGCAGTAAAAGGTTGTAAACAGACCCAAAGATTTGAAGGATGTAAAATGAGCTCAATTCATTTTCTATGAGGAAAAAAAAAATGGCAGAAAAACTAAGTACTGTATTCCAAAAAGCTAAAGTTGCACCAATACCAAAAATCATAGCAGGATTGCCCTGAAAGAGCTGAACGATTTGATTTATGATTTGTTGAAATAGCACAAACACTGATGGAGAAAGATGCCAAGAAGAACATACAGAAGAAAAATGGATCACAATAGTGTGAATGCTTCATAAACATTCACACAATAAACAATAGATTGTTCAAAAAGCTATATACTAGTAAGATATATTGTTTAACACCTTTCTACAACCCCCACTTGAAATTATCCAAGCTATCCCTTTAATGTGAGGTATTATTTTAATGGGGGTTAAACCTTTATTTTACCAATTAAACATCTTTAAGTTTTTTAACGTGAGCTAAGACTTTCTGTCAGAACATCCGCACACAAACACTCCGACTAAAACATTGTCACATTCACAGGAGAGAGAGGACAAGTTGTGGAGTCCCCATCAGCAGGAGGTTCATTCATGCACACTGAAGTTACTCTAATCAGCACCAGTCAATCACATAACGGAACTAAGCTCTCACGTTTCACATAAGCTGCATGTCAGGGGAACACACACACACACACACACATTTATAAGTAAGAACTTCTGAGCAGTGAATTATTGCAAGTCGCAGATTAAGGAGCTTTCTACTCGAAACAAGTCTACCTCAATAACAGTGATCACAGCCTGTGATCAAAAGATGGGAGATCACAGCAGTCTAGTTCAATATTATCTGATCCTATAAAGAGTTTGACGCCTGTCTTGCCATGATTTTTAATATCTAGCTCCCTGCCATCAAGTGGCAATTTATTATAAAGTTAGAATCTTATTTTTGAAGCAAAAAAAGGGTCTGACTAAAATGGACGTTTTTTTTTATTAACTATAAGGCATTAGTTTTGATTATTCTGCTGATTTGTCACAGTTATTACAAATTTCAATTATTATTTCTAATTTAAACAAAACCATTTTGATTTTTTTTCTGACATTTTCATGATGGAAACTGTATAGCATTGATTCATATTGCATCATCAAGTAAACGATGCAAGTTAAATACACGACAAAGAGCAACAGGAAGTCTGTGTCACTGTGATTTATCTTTCCATTATTCTTAGTCCTGTTATTACAAGGATATCACAAATATTGCCATTGCCAGAAAGTACAAAAATGAATTACAAAAACAAACCTCAAAAGGATAAGTTTCAAGAATCTTTAAAATGTTCATGTTCTGTTACTCAATCAAGCTTA